ATATTTTTGGGAAAAAATCCTATATTTTCCTATATTTAGAACTTGCACAGCCTATATTTCCTATCAAATTTGTCTAAAAAGACGCTGAGATGCCTGCTATTTGTTCAAAGATTTCTTAACGAGTTAATGAATGTTCATTGTAAAAATATTTTWAAAATAAACGTCGACGTTAAGTAAGCGAACAATAGGTTGCGGAAGTGTACTTTGGTAATATCCTTTCCATTATTTAGTATTAAAATTTTAAAAGAATTTAAGGTCTTTGAAGGTTGTTTGAGCATCTAAACTCAAGAAACTGTGACGGGTTTCGATGCTAAATGACGAAATTTTGCTAAAGCTGGACATTTCCAGGTACTGTTCGGACATTTTAAAGCCGCACTTTTCACGTTTTTGCGATCTCGGCGTTTTCGTGTTTTCACGGCGTCCATCCAAATTTTACAACAAATTGAGTTTTGAGTAATGTTTTTAATAGATAGAAGCCAAAGGCACTGAATTCGGAAGCTTGTGGAGAATCGTAGAAACATGATAAATTCTCTAATCGAAGTTGGCATCGGAACAAGATTTTATACATAAATGACATGGTTTTGATAGACCAAGAAAAAATTCCTTATAAAATCAAGAAAAAAAATCCGAAATGCAAACGTAAGAATTGTTAATTTGATGCTATTTTCTAATTATCCCCCAGAAAATATGAAAGGACAAAGTTTTCACTACAACCTTCTAGCGTTGATTGCACTGGTCCACGCTACGACTTCAAAGATACCCGTTCAAAAGCAAGGTAAGAAGAATTAGTTTTTGAATTAAAACATAGAATCTTAAAATTCTCGAGAGAATGACACGTGGGAAATGGGGAAACATTACAACCAAGGTGAAGAGRTCTATTGAGATCAATAAGAAGATGATTTTTGCAGAGGGAGGAAAACCGGAGAATCCGGAAATAAAAACCCATCGAAACACGGGAGAGAACCAACGAGCAACTCTACTCAAATGTGAGACCAAATTTGGAAATCCAACCCGTCTCACTCTGATGAGAAGCGAAAGCTCTATTCCTATAATCATGCGTTATACTTCTCGAGTCGATCACGCGACCCGAAGAACTAGCTCATAGCTTCAAACGTTTGGGACTTTCCAACGGTCTGCGGGGTTGGAAGTTTCATTGCAAAAACAAAAAACAAAAAACAAAAAACAAAAAACAAAAAAACAAAAAACAAAAAACAACAAACAACAAAAAACAACAAAAAACAACAAAAAACAACAACAACAACAACAAAAAACAAAAACAAACAAAACAAAACAAAACAAAACAAAACAAAGAACAAAAAAACAAAAAACAACAATATCTTGGGCGACCCACCTTGGTCTTTGTTGCAAGCGTAATTATCAAAAATTGGTATAAAACAACGAACAAAGACTATCATCGAAATCTTTTCTCATTTTTAGCGCCAGTTGCCGTTCAGTGTTTCACAAGATGCCTTTGCGAGAAGAACCCTTCGTGGCATATTAGCATAAGATGCAGAGACAAGGACATCCTCTCGATGCCGCGTAACATGTCTTTCTACACTACAGATATGTAAGTCAAAATACTGAAAATAGATTCTTAAGTTGTGGCGTATTTCCGGGTCCAACTGCTCACAAAAACCGCTATATATATAAAGCGGAAATGTTCTCAATGATTTAACCTCCACCTGAAACCATGAGAACCTGTCATGAAGAAAACGTGAATAAAAAGAAACCCCATAGAACTGCTTCTTGTTTTGGACCTGGACGTCGTTTTTCCATGCTATCAACGTCACACTTAAAAGTACTGAGTCAATCTTCACGAACAAGGAGTATGATCATCGCATATATCTTCATTCTCTCTGTTACAGAGACTTTGCCAGAAACAGAATATCATTTCTAGGACAAGATGCTTTTTCTTTCACCCGTCACCTAGAAAAGATGTAAGATATTTCTTTCTTAACTTAACTCGTGATATATGTTAGCCTATAAACCACGCTCTTAGCCACTGATCATATAAAGCCTTTGTGTTAGGTTTTACACGAAGGAATACCTGAGAATCTTTGGGGGAAACCCTTGAATCAAGGGAGAGAGTTAACAAACTGTACTGGTGCTAAAGTAGAAGCAAGCATAAGCACGAGCGCAAGCCAACGCAAGGCATCTTGCGTTGGCTTGCGCATCTTTTCTCTTCTCGGACAAGGACTTMAAACCGTAGGCCCCGTCTGTCTTCACTACATAACCCTGTATAGGGGACGTACGTAAAAGATCCACTGAAGACGCTGGTGACCATCTTCAGTGCCCGTGCCAACCGGCTGCCTTATCAATTGGGTCGCAAGGCCTGTTAGGCATCAAGCCGTCCACCCAGGAGTGGTAAACGCATTAGAGAAGGAAAAACTGAAAAAAAAAAAAAAAAAAAACTGACAAAAACTGACAAAATGTTCTGTTCTCTTGCGCTCGTGTGTTTGCCCCTGCGCCGCTCCTTTAGATAGTGCACCTTGGAGTTTTGTCTACTTGCGTCCCTAGTGAGAACCAGGCTTTAGTAAACATAATTTGTTTCATTTTTCACAGCGAATTGCAAGACAACGAGATTACTGAGTTGCCAGACACTGTGTTCAAATATCTCTTAGTACTTCAGCATTTGTAAGTCTAACGATAGTTCAGTTACCAAAGGACGCTTTTCTAGCTAGTCAGTCCAGAACGATAATTATTCAAGATGGTTGCCGTATTTCGATTTGGTGGCTTCACATAATAAGTCATTTGCAATGATAATAGCTTTATGGCCTTTATATATTTTTTTTACAGGTCTCTGGCGCGAAATAAGATAAAATACTTACCTGAGAGATTATTTATTGGCTTATATCATCTAAAATTCTTGTAAGTAACAATCTATTTGTTTTTAGGGAGGAGAGGGAGGGGATGGAAGGAGTGACAGTGAACCCTCGAGATTTCAAGGGAAAACCTAGATAACCATTACCATAGGCACTTCATACATGAACTGTATAGCGGCTACCATAGGCGCCTTCAAGTGCTTTCAGTTCAACCCCGTTGAGCTGCGCCACTGCTGTACTTACGTCCGTGTGTTTTCTGGGAGGGGAGGGAAGGGTGATTYGTTGAGGTTAGTGGGACCTTCTCATTGGAAATTGTAGATACCCCATACCTATTGGCAGTTCATTCGTTACGTTCATTGTTTTTGGAGAGGGGAGGGGAGGGGAGGGGAGGGAGGGGTGATTTGTTGAGGTTAATTTACACGGGAAATTCTAGATACCCCTTCCCCATTGGAAATTTATTTGTTATGTTTTTGTATTTTTTGGGAGGGGGAGGGAGGGGTAGAGTGTTGAGGTTAATTTCCCCCCTCATGTAAAATCTTGGATACGCCCTTAAAATTACTTAARATTAAAAATCTGAGGATATGTCGAAAAGCTTGATACTTAACTAGTAGCCAGAATAGGCAATGTATAGAGTGAAGTACATATGTCGGCGAATAATTGTTTTAGCATATACCAACTTGTGTACAAAGTAACTCATTTTTATAAACAAAAATTCAATAAAAACTAACAAACAGATACCTTTTGTTTGAGTGACAAGTTCACGCAAAACTGTTAGCAAAACTTTTAGACCATACTTTGCTGCCTTTTTAGTATTGATAGGAATGGCATTTACTTTCATTTTTTCAAATTCCTCATCGGAAATYGTAGCAAAACGATTGCCGGCAGATGCTATTTTGTTGCCGACTAAATATTCCGAGATTCAGAGGTGAATATCGTACGCAATATTCACCTCCAATTAACCAATGGGTGCGCGCGTTCTTAAGAAGAACACAAGTTGGTATATGCTAATTTGAAATATGCCGACTATTATCTTTGATTCAACAGAGACCTCAGTAGAAACCAACTCAGCGTTTTGCCGAATATGTCATTTACACACCTGAAAAACCTACAAACTCTGTAAGTTTCAATATTGACATTTCTTGCTTATTGATATTATTTTATATCATCATCATTATCATCAGTATCATCATTATCATCAACAACATCATCATCATCATCATCATTATCATCAACATCATCAATATCATCATCATCATCATCATCATCATCACCATCAACAACATCATCATCAACAACATCATCATCAACATCATCATCATCATCAACATCATTATCATTATTATCGTCATCATCATCACCATCAACAACATCATCATCATCATCCTTATCATCAGCAACATCATCATCATCATCAACAACATCATCATCACCATCATCATCCTTATCATCAACAACATCATCATCATCATCCTTATCATCAGCAACATCATAATCATCGCCATCATCATCTTCAACAGCACCAGGTCATCATGCATTAGGGCAGGAGTGTTTTAGCATTCTTTCCTTTTTTTCTCTTTGTCTTAGTCTCTCAACTTTTTCTCACTATTTCGAATTCAGAGGCCTCCAAGGAAATAAAATCAAGGAGCTTCCTCAGATCGTATTTCGTGGACTCTATAACCTTCAGATACTGTAAGTTAGTGCCAAGAATAACSCACAAACCTTCGTTCATTTTAGCAGTTGAGGAGTGAAATGGCTTTTGATACCAGATGGTTTCGCGCCAAAATGCGAGCCACTCGACCTTTCCCTTCTCTGATACTCTCCCAGTTCTTCCTTCCTTCCTTCCTTCCTTCCTTCCTTCCTTCCTNCCTTCCTTCCTTCCTTCCTTCCTTCCTTCCTTCCTTCCTTCCTTCCTTCCTTCCATTCTTTCTTTTTATATGCTCGGAAACCTCAATTTTGCGAAAGGTAATTGTTATTAACCCAAATTTAATTTACATAAACATTCCTTTTACAGATTTCTAAATGATAATCTTCTAACAGAGATTCCACCGAAGGTTTTTGACGAACTCACAAACCTTGAGACACTGTATGTATGGAATTTTTAAACTATGAATAAATTATCTCCGTGCGTAATGTAGGGATCCACACAGGGATCCACACAAAAATTATATACTCAACTTCGAATGAATATAATTTTTTATAGCTGAAATTCTCTATTCTATTCTAAATTGACGCTCTGAAAATCTGAAAATATCGAAGCTCATTTCACAGGCTCACTTTAATTTGGATCAAATCTTAATTTTTCCTACAGTTTTCTTTCCAGAAACAAACTGACGTCTGTAAGAAACGAAAACTTTATTGCTATGCAAAAGCTCTACTTATTGTAAGTACTCGAGTTTTTTTTTTTGACTTCCCGAATTTTATTTTTTTTCTTCTAATACTTTTTTATTTACAAAAATCTTTTTAAGGTTACTGAATGGGAACAAGATTAATTTTATTCACAGCAGAGCCTTTGCCAACCAATCGTCTCTTTATTATCTGTAAGTCTAGAGAAAATCTTGTTATCCATTTGAGCTAAAGAAACTTGTTAAAAGTGCTCTAAGAAAGGTATTTTCCTGGAGGCATCACATTTTAATAGTTGTCTAGAATTGACCGAAAATTGGGAAGTTTGACCTCGAAGCGCGCGCATACCTATCGATATTGGACATTTTTGAGATTTGATTCAAAAGTGAAAATGATAAGAAAGATATACTGTAGTATCGCGATTCACTAAATAGTTCCTTATATTTTTGAGACGACAATATTTTGTGGTATTGTCGTTTCAAAATTAAGGTTTCTGATTGGCTAACGCGCGACGAAAAGGAGAGCTTTCGGTCAGTTTTTTTCCTTTTTTGTGTTGGTTAARTTCGTTAGGTTCGCGATACAGCACTAATTGCGATTTTGAGACATCAATACCACGAAATGTTGACGGTGTTGGAAGAAACATATACCGAATTTATTTTCTCCCAACTGGCCATCAATATTTCGTAGTATTGTCGTCTCAAAATCGCAATTAGTTTATAATATTGACGTGATTGCATTTTGCTACACAGGTTTTTGAATGACAACGAAATGGAAAACATTYTGGATACATTCTTCTTGGATGCAGATAGTATTCGAATCATGTAAGTTTGAGATACGACTGATATGAAAATATTTCGGCTTTGAAAAAGAAAGGTCAAATAAAGTAAAACAAAACGAAAAAGCAAAAACGAAAACTAGTTCAAAGAAAGAAACAAAATAAAACAACGTTTAAACTCGATTTGATTTTCCGCCCTTTTCCCCTTTTCCCTTTTGTCAAAAATAGCCCATGGTTTCAATAGACTTCRTTTCYTGTCTCCCAAATGGTACACGCGTCTACCGGTAGAACCGAAAAKAGCGGRAAAAGAGGATTACCTCAATCGGAAAACCGAGCTTGCTGGAAYTTTTACCATTTGTTTTCAAACCAGAATTTTCGTTTTTATCGGGTAAATGGTAAGCACACCGGTTAAACTTTATTTTGATTTTCAGGACCCTGTCTAATAACCCAGTTAARAACTTAACTCTTCAAGCATTTGAGACTACCAAACTTGATAAACTGTAAGTTTCTTTATTATCTCCTATGAAGATTCAACTGTATTCGAAGAATATTGCGGTTGAATTCACGCTTTGCTAAAAATCACATAGTAACTGTTTTTATCATTGTGTGAAGAAATTTCYGATGTATATGTCGTCATAACAACCGTTAAACTGACGTCATGCATGACGTCACAGCTGCCATGTTGAAAGTGTCATATGACGTCAAAGTCGCCATTTTGGAAATGCAAGATGACGTWATGGTTATCATGTCCTGTTAATCTTCTGTTTATTTTCTGTTATTTTTGTAGGTTCATGTTGAATATTCATATGGAACATTTTAGAGTCTCTGGGATAGTAACTTCAGCCAGAGAAACGAAAYTATTCGTGTGAGTCAGTTGGACAGCCAGAATTTGTTAAACAGTCCATGATTCATGTATCTCCTTTTCTCCTTCCCTTTTTCCATTCATCCGTCCGTCCATCCATCCATTCGTCCATCCATCCATCCATCCATCCGTCCGTCCGTCCGTCCGTCCGTCCGTCCGTCCGTCCGTCCGTCCGTCCGTCCGTCCGTCCACCCATCCATCCATCCATCCATCCATCCATCCATCCACCCACCCACCCATCCATCCACCCGTCCGTCCGTCTGTCTGTCCGTCCATCCATTTGCTCTCTTCCTCCCTACCTCCATTCATTCATTTTTCATTCTTATTCAGGTCCTATCACTGCACCCCACCAGAAATCGTTCTCAGGAATACCTCCCAGCACTACAAGTTTCTGATCGACGCGTTTGCCTTTGGCGGCTTTCATTGTGACCACTCTCTTCGTGTGTGTAAGCCATGTAACTATGGTACATATATGGTCTCATCACGTGATGGCCATAAGTGTCTCCYMTGYCCACCAGGTGAGCAAGCTGAAATGYCAGCGGTAAATTRTTTTGCACATGCGCACYGAATCATCTATAACTTKGACTATTTAATGATTATAACAAGTGTGTGTTATTTAGTTTCTCTCATGTTATTTGACCACACTCCACAATAATGTAACCAGTAACGTATAAATGGAGTTGTCAACTTAAGGGGCAACAGCCACTTTACAGCCCTAGCCTCCTTAAAAATTCTTTGTCAGGCGCTGTAAAACCGCTCCTTCGAAAAAGCAAGCGCCATCCTTTCCCTATTTGCTTTTCTGCTCAGCTTCTCTTGGTAATAAATTGCTTACGACACTTTTCTCGTTGCTGAACAACATTCAGGTGGCTTCTTTCAGAATTCCGTGGGTCACCATGGTGAGGTTTCATTCGGTATTGGTTGTAAATCTTGTTCACGTGGTACTTACGTGAAACCGTATAAAAACCCTGGCAAAGATCCAACACACTGCAARGTCTGCCCCTCAGGTACGTTGAGGTTTAGATGTGTGTCATAGGTCCAAAGTCCATTAAAATTGCAGGATTCAGAGCCTGAAAATTCCTTCCCTCGCAATGCCCTCCACTGCTTCTACATTTACTACAACACTATCATCCCTATGATACTTAACATGTATTTAAATTATGTGTGTAATAGGTACAAAGTCCAATGAAGCCGCAGGGTTCAGAGCCTGCAAATGTCTCGATGGCTTCCATCGTTTTTACAGGTTTGGAAGCTGTGAAAAATGTCCTACGTTTGGCTTAGACTGTTCGKGTGAATACATGGCTCTCTTGCCAGGGTACTACTGGATATGGGATGATTTGAAGAAAAAGTAAGATCATAACTTAYTCCAATCCTTGCTAATCTCCTCTGCAGGCCTCATCAGTTTCGGTTTTTCGAATCCTCACGGGCCCTCTCCACTACTCCACTACTTAAGAGTGGAGAGGGACCGTGAGAGTCTGGTACTGCTGCGAAGGACCACTGAATCCTTGCCAAAAGTCTTGAAATCATTTAATGCGTGCATTTAAGTAGTTACCATCGTCCTATAATGGTTTTGTCAGCCTTGATTAGACTTAATTCGTTGTGGCGTTGTGGTGCAATGTTGCTCAATACAGACCAAATGTCATTCTTTTGGAATAAGATTCTTTCTTTGAGTTGTATCCATATTCATGTGTCTTCTCATGCGCATCCGTAAAACGAAGAAATGATACTCTAGGGAATGACACGTGGTCTGAAATGGGAAAACAGTGCACCATCACGAGTAAGATCTATTTATTAAAGGATACAGAARAAAAAAAAAGAAAAAAAAAAAAGAAATAGATGTTTTATTTTAAGGGGTGAAAGACTTCGAGACAAAATTCGTTCTCTTTGATTTAAAGGAGCGAGTATGAAGATTTTTCACGTAACTTGGACATCGATGATGACAGCTACGACCGAAGCACTGTCTGGTTTAACGGCAGCATACCCAAACCGTACCCCTGYCTCCGTAAGTCTCCCTGCAGCGGTGGAGTCTCTGCAAGCTGCGCCACTGGCCATTATGGAGTACTATGTGAGGTCTGTAAGAAAGGATACTACAAGACCATGTTCAACTGTAAAGAATGTCCATCAGTGATGATGATAGCAGTAAAGATTTTTATCGTTGTTACTGCAATACTTGTTGCGTCTATTGTGTTGAAGATTCGGGCGCTAAGAAGGCGTGAGCCTGGAGCGAGAAGCCCCGTTGACGCATTTGTTTCAAAGCTGAAAATCATCGTTGGTTTTTATCACTTGACGCCGTGTATGCTGGAGTCGTTTCCATATATTGAATGGCCTTATCCTATGTCTATCACTGGGGAATATGCTAAGGTTAGTAATAATGATGATATGTAGTCACCATCATTATCATCATCGTTATCATCACCAGCATCACCTACATCATTATCATTATCATTACCATCATCACCATCATCATCATCACCACCAYCAACATCATCTTTCTCATCATCATCGTCATTGCCTTCAACGTCATTATAATCATCGTCATCATCACCATCATCATTGTCGTCATTAGAGTTTTCATTATCATCAATGTTGTCATCATCATCAACGTTATCATCATTGTCAACTTCATCATGAACACCAACATCAATGCAATCTTCATCATTATCATCACGGACCATCATCAACATCATAATCAACGTCATTGTCATCATCAYATAATCACCACCATTGTCATCAAACTATCTTCATCTCCAGCRGCATCTTCAGACACCAGGGAAAGCGTTTGCGCATGCGTGCACTTCAAGTACATATTCTTGTCCATATTTCTAAGATAGATAGGTTTCTTTGCAGCTAATCCAACTGGATGTCCTCCAATTCATTCCTCCACAATGCATCATCCCCAACCTTCGTTTTACTGCCTTCCACAAGATGATCACCTATGTYACCATCAACCTACTAGTCATACTTGTCGGCTGGATCGTCTACAAGCTCAGAATACGTTGTATCCCGACACGCACGCATTCTGACAAGAAGAGAGCCAAGGAACAGTCGATAATAGAAAATGTCTGTAGATACGTGTACCTGTTCTTATTCTTTACGTTTCCGACTACTTGTTTGAGTATCGTACAGCTCTTCCCAGCTAACTGTCATTACTTGTGCGCTGATAACAAGAATACTCGCTGTGCTTGGTATCTGAAGGCTGATTACAGGGTAATATGCTTCGAGAAGGAATACAACAGGTATGCTAYAATATATACTTTATTATACAGTCGCTACGCCTTGCGCGCTCTGATTGGTTGAGAACTGTGCTGTATTTGTGATCATAGCAAGATGCTGATGCAATCCGCACGCGCAGCTGGCTTTACGAAGGAGTGTAAGAAATAAAACTATAACAACAGAGTTTCTCTTTGCATATGATAAAACAGCTTTTCCTTGGTGCGTTCAGGAATGCATTTAGGCAGCACCGAAAGCACTCAAGAAGTGTGAGAAAAACTTGTCGATCACTGTGAATGCGTGCTGTATATATTGATCATGAACGGAGCTTCATTTTTGCCCGCTTTTTTTAGTCTAATCTTTTTACCTACTGTCTTGTTTCAATGTTAGGTACATTGGCTTGGCGTACCTTTGCCTACTATATCCCGTCACTATCGGTACCTTAAGCGTTCTCATTCTATGGAGAACCTACAAGCGAAATCGACTTTACATTTTGGCGATAAAGAAAATAAAAAAGTTCAATGATGTTGATGATGGTGATSACTCAGATGCAGATGATTCCGATGATGATAATCGTGATGATGACTTACATGTTGATCGGAGTGATCCTAAGAAACTCAAGTTGAATCTTGCAATCGCAGACCGCGGAAGCTCAAGAAATAGCAATAACATAAACATTGAGAAGACTAATAATGCACAGGAAGTGGTTCTCAATGAAGGAGATCTAAAAGATGATCCTGTAAAGAAATTACACGAAGTTTACGAACAACTAAAATTTAGAGACAAAACGCCTCATTCCATCGATGAATTGTCCAATAAGGCTGCAAAGGAGAAGATTTCCCCAGGAATCCAGGTTATAGAGAAGATCCCCAAAGTGAAAGTAATAATAGAGAAACCGAAAGACGGCCACGAGGGAAAAGACTCGGAAAGGATTGACAAACAGAGTGAAAAAATGAATCTTGAAAACAAAAAAGAAAAGAAAGACGAAAGAGATGAAAAATACAGCTCCCTTAAGACAGATGAATTTTATAAAGTGGCTGAAAAACTCACTAAAAATTTAAGTGAAAACAAAGGAGATTTTGACAAAGTAACGAAGTCGTTACGTAACAACGAAAGAAAGGAGAAGTGGCATGGGGTGAATTACACGAAAGTATTCATTACAACGCTGCAACAGGGGTTGCTTAGCAACAATAAGATTGCGTTACTTAGTAACCAAGTGATCAAAAACAGAGATTCCATTCATGAAAAATTCGAAATTGCTCAAAGTCAAAAAAAAATTTCTAAAATGGAACTTTTAGCTGACGGAAACGAATCTAAGGTTTTGAAATTTTTGGCCACGTTAAAAGTTTCCTCTCCTGAGGATATAGGTTTGATCTTTGTACRCGGAGATGGCTTGGCGAAAGGTGCCAAGTTCTTGTATGAGAACTACGAGCAAGAGCTGTGGTACTGGGAAATGATTGAGAYCTTCTGGAAACTACTGATCACTTCTGGTATAGTCTTGACGGGAAAAGTGACGAGGTCTTCCATTGGGATATCTTCAGTGATATCAGGTAAACATTTTTCTTCTTGTTGGTTTAACAGATCAAAAACTGTTTTTTGATCTGTTTTATAAAATAACAAACACGTCAAAAAAAAAAAAAAAAAAAAGAAAAAAAATCGTATTATTGTGATGTATTTGTAAAGGATGACGCGAGCGTGTTTTGATACCCTCATCAAACATAGTTTTCGGCCAATCGTAGCGCGCGTACCATCCCAATTATTTTATAATATCTATTCATTAAGGCATGCATCCGTCCATCGTTCTATCCTCCCATTCATTTACTTATTTATTCGTTCGTCCATTCATCAAAACAAGCATCCATCTCATTTCAACCATCCACACAGAGAAAACAAAACAAAAAACAAAAACAAACAACAACAAAAAAACTCATTTTCTTTAAATGTAAATATATATGTGAGGGACCACGGTAATTGGCACATGCTGTAGTGGATTCCCAGCCATTATGTATATATATGTTATATATAAAGTGTTTGTGTGTGTCTGCGTGTGTATGCGTGGGTGTTTAAATGGCAAAGCTAAATAAATAAATATATAGATATATTCTTCCATACTAAAGAAGCTTAATTGGCAGCCATTAAATATTAAAAGAACTCAAGACAAAGCAATTATTGATGCACTAGATCATGAATGGCCATGCACCTTCATATTTGACAGAGCTATTCGCTAATAGCAATGCCTCAGAACATTATAGTTTGAGAGAGAAAACAAAACTTGATTTACAAATTCCGCGTACAGATTATTATATGAAAAGCTTTGTCTTTTCGGGAGCTAAATTATGGAATTCTCTTWCACTTTCTTTCAAAGAAGAGAAGTCCCTGAGTAAATTCAAGTCAAAATTGAAGGATTATGATCTCTGCATCAACCAATATTAGTAACTCTTTTTACATTGAATATATCCTTGATAATACTCGGCTAGTCTCGTGGATCGTCAACAAGAGGACAGACACATAAAAACCTAATGTCTATTTGTTAAATCTATCTATCTATCCAACTACCCTCCAACATATTTTTYCATGATTATATCCTAGGAATGTACGTTGTTGTGTTTGCTTTCCGAAGACCAATCATCGACCATTTTGACAACTTCCTTCACCTTTCAAGCCTCCTGGTAACCTTTATCAACATAAGCCTGGGYGTGTACCTCAAGATAAACCTGGAAAACGCTGACCCAAGTTACGATCTCTTCATTAACTCTACTCCTGTTGTTGTTATCAGCGCGTGCTCTAACTTGGTGCTTTTTATGCTGCTTGTCTGTATGTAATGAGCATTTTTATAGAATATAAGTATACAATGAGGATGATGATGATGTTTATGATAAAGATGATGATAAAGGTGATGATACATGATGATACATGATGATGGTGATGAAGGTGACGAAGAGGGCGCGTACTCTAACATAGTGCGGTTGATCTACTTGTCTGTATGCAATAAACATTTTGAATGGAATATGATGATTATAATGATGACAGTGTTGATGATGATAATGATACATTATGATGATGACGACGGTGCATTATCTAACGTGGTACTTTCAATCTACTAGTCGATATGTAATAAGCATTTTTAATGGAATATAATGAGGATGATGATGAGGGTGTTGATGATCAATATGATGATGACGACAACCAAAATGATAAGAATGATGATTGATGAAGACGATGACGACGGTGTAATGATAATGGTGACGATGATAATGAYGATGACAACGAAGACAATGTTGATGAAAATGATGACAACGAAGACTTATGTTGTTTATAATGACGATGATGACATGACGTCAGAATACGTTTTATTAAAGTGCGTAAAAGAAATTGTAAAGGACTTTAATCGTCTGCAATCTTGACTCTTGGATGCTGAACATTCTTTCCTGCCAGAGCATTAAAAAACTTTTTTTTTTCCTTTTTCTCTACAGTGCACTGCTTGTACGTTTGTTTGTACTTGAGATTTAAAGCTTGGTTCATGAAGACCATTGTGTACAAGTTCATCGACGATCGCTTCATATCTCCTGCAAATGCAGGAATCGAGCGTGCGAAGGAAAATTTTAGACGCCTCAAAGGAAGATTCGATAAAGCCATTCAAAGCTTACATGACAGAGATGGCTATTTTGGTATGACGTGCAGATTGTTGAAGAAGTATCTGGACAAAGTGAAAGAAAGAATTTAGGGGAGAAGCCCCTCGTTTATGGGAAGCTTGAGA